TTAAAGGCACGAAAAGAGGAAAATAAGTTATGGCTTGGGGAAATGGGCTAGGAATTGGGTTGGTTTATGAAATGGAAATATGGATTTAAGCACTCCAAAAATTAAATACTCAACCCGACCAATAATGGCGGTGAAAGGTTGTTCATCATCGGGTTTGGTTTTGTGGAGACATTAGGACATGCATGTATCGGTAGGAAAACTTGCATCATCATGTGACAATCATGGGATTTCATACCTTGTCAACTTCAATTCTCCATTTAAGGAAACAAACCTTTTCATGTTTGACGAGAACCTAGATGGAAGCTTAATGTCATAGAAACAAGCACAAAACCTCCGTTTTTCTTCCTTTGATAATGTGTAGCAAGCTGGAGGTAAATACACCTTTTGGTTCTTTCCTTTTCCATCACCTTTCTTCTTTGCGATACCCGTGGCCTTTTCCTTGCGCTTCCCCTTACGATTTTGACCACCATCTTCGTTTCCCTTTTCCTTAGCCTTCGCCATCCCTACCTTAGCTTGAACCCACAACTCCGGACGAACACCCCACTCTTGCAAATCTAACCGCGCACTCTTGCCATCCTTCATTTTTCCAGGAATGTTCATAATTGTCCCCAGAATTGCATCACAAACATTCTTCTCTATATTCATCACATCGAGATAATGTCTAACATCATGTTCTTTCCAGTACTCAAGCTTCCAAAAGATTGATTCCTTTTTAAAGAGAGCGTGTGGGTCAATTGTTTTCGTTATTTTACCAAAAACACATGGAATACCCTTCACTCTCTCATAAACCTCCTTTCCACTCAATGGCCTAGGCGCAACCCCCTTCTCAACTTTCCCATCGAAGGCCTTTTTCTGCTTACGATACGGGTGATCGCACCTAAGAAATCTTCGGGTCCTCACGTACACATCTATGCCATAGTGGTCAAGGTACACGTTCGGTGTGTCATCAATACAAATGGGACATGCTTTATGCCCTTTGTTCTTGTACCCGGACAGATTTCCATATGCAGGAAAATCATTGATGGTCCACATAAGGGCAGCACGCAAAAGAAACATCTCGTTCTTATGGGCATCATAAACGGTAACACCTTCGTCCCACATCTTTCTCAAATCATCAATAAGGGGCTCAAGGTAAACATCAATGTCGTTTCCAGGTTGCCTTGGCCCCGTTATCAAAAGTGAAAGCATTATATATTTCCGTTTCATACACAACCACGGAGGCAAGTTGTAAATCACTAAAAGTGACGGCCATGTGTTGTGTTTAGTACTAAGAGTGCCAAATGGATTCATACCGTCCGTGCACAACCCAAGCCTTAAATTTCTGAATTCACCACCAAATGCCCTAAACTTCATATCGATGTTCTTCCATTGTGGAGAGTCTATAGGATGCTTCAACAAACCATTTTTCTTTCTTCCCTCAGCATGCCATCTTAGGTTCTTGGCGTCTTTTAGTATTGAAAATAGACGCTTTAACCTTGGAATAATAGGAAGATACCACAACACCTTGGCAGGAGGTCCTTTACTACCAGCATTGCAGCTTGATCGCTTGTAACGCGACTTACCGCAACGTGGACACTCCTCCAACTCTTCATATTCATTTTGATACAGAACACAGTCATTAGGACATGCATGTATCTTTTTATACTCCAAACCAAATGGACACATTAGTTTCTTTTCATAATAATAGAATTAGGAAGTTCATTCCCATTTGGCAACATATCACATAACGCAGTCAACAAAGAAGTGAAACTAGTGTCACTCCAGTTATGCTTAGACTTAATGTTAAATAGTGTAAGCACGGCTGAGAGTTTTGTGTATTTTTTGGACCCGGGATACAAAGGCTTTTTGGCAGCCTCTGATAATGACTCAAATACATCGGGTCGGTCACCAAATTCACCTTCAACATCACGCATCATCTCATCCAAGTGATCATCACCACCACCATCCTCGGTGTCATCCCCTTCACCACCATCATCACTCCCATTTTCTTCTTCAACATGAATCTCGGCACTTTCAACATGCGTCTCATTGCCAACAACATTCTCCCTATACGATCCCTTCTCACCATGCCAAACCCAAACATGATATTGAGGCCTAAACCCATGACATTGTACATGAGCCATGATAGTATCCACACTATTGACCCTTATGACATTATTACAATTGACACAAGGACAATAAAGGTAATTGACACCCGTTCTAAGCTTATACTGTGAAGCACTCTTGCAAAACTCTTGAACCCCATTAAAAAATTCCAATGTATCACGTCTACCATACATCCAACCGCGATCCATTGACTCTTTAATATGCCTTTAAACATACCAACACATTTCAAACAATGATAAATGTAACATATATTATGTAATCAAAGTACATAGCATATATATCATCTATATATCGTAAAAATGAATGCTCCCAAAAGGTCCTTATCACTCCAACCTAACCCATCCTTGAACGTCTAATCTCACTAGTGAATGTATGTTAACTTTTCAATTTTAAGGAAAATCCGGCAGCATTTCCCCCCAGTTCTCCAAGTACACGATGTAGGTAATAACTTACCTACATATGTACCCAGAGAACATGGTGAGAAATGAGAAGCCCCGATATTCCTTAAAATCGAAAAAGAGACATACATTCACTACCTAAGTGAGATTAAACGTCCAAGAACAGTCCCAACTGGGGACTATTCAAGACTTTCTCCTATTGAAAAAGACTCGAACGGGTATCTAGGCAAATGATGATGCAAGCATTCAATTATTATTTGCATTTATTTGACATTCAACAACAAACAAGTTCATTCATTTAAATAGGGCTAATAATTAAATTAACATACATACAAAATCAAACTAAGTTTACTTATATATATATATATATGTATATATATATATATATATATATATATATATATATATATATATATATATATATATATATATATATATATATATATATATATATATATATATATAGCAATACATTATATTCATACATTGCAATTTACTAACCACATTTAACAAACTAAAATGTTAACTAATATATATTCTATTCATAAATTTCATTTAAAGCTACTCAAATTCAAACAATATATATATACATATGAAACTTGGATTAACTACTTGAAACCCTAACTTGAAATTTTGGAATAACAAACAATTAATACATATGAAACTAAAATTTAGCAAGAACTCACCCTAATTTGAGAGTGAGAAAGACAAAGATTGAAGATTGAAGAATGCGTGCTTGGGCTCGGTTCAACAACACCCTCGAACATGCACCACCACCAAACACCGGCAGCCTCGAGCAACCACCAGCAAACTCGACCAACCAGCAACAACCTCGACCCACCACCAGCAGCAGCCTCGACCCACGACCCCCAAACGCAGCTTCAATAGCCAAATTAAAAAAAAAATGAATATGAATGGAGTGGTGGTGGTGGTGGCCGGAATCTGAAGAAGTGAGAAGAGAGGTGAGGACAAAGGAGACACCGAGGAGGAGTGAAGGCGGGGAAGCTCAAAAATTTGGGAAGAGAGGAGAGCGTGAACTGAAATTACAGGGAGGGTGTACTGTATATCGAGCCCGCTTTTTTTTTTTTTTTAAAATGGTAAGCGGTTAAGCCTTGAACTGCTTGCCAATTTAACTAATGGTAAGCGGTTCAAGGCCAAACCGCTGGCCATTAGTTAAAAGGCAAGCGGTTCGGGCCAAAACCGCTTGCCATTTCACTTCCCTCCTTTTTTTTTTTTTTTTTATTTTTTTTTTATTAATCTAATGGGAAGCGGATTTTGTAAACCGCTTGCCTATAACCGCTTCCCATCACATTTATTCTACTAGTGACATGTGACATTATAAGGATGATGATTTTTGTTTTTAAATACTAAAGTATAGATTAGTTTTTCTACAAAATTCAGAAATTACGGTCTTATTGGCTTTACAGGCAGTTACCACAAACTTCCCGCCTTTAATCTGTACACTTGCTTTCAAAATCAATTAAAAACCTACAACCATCCTTCCCAAATCACTAATTCCTTCTAATCATCATGGTTCAAGTATTCATTCATGGCTTCCTACTTCTCGTCTTCGCCTTCGGTTCAATTCTCGCTGACCCATGTACTCATACACCTTAATCTACCCATTTTCAGTAACACATAAATTACAGATGTGGTGTTGTACTCAAATATGCTTAACTTATCCTTTTTCTCCGCCTTATGTTTGCAGATGATGAATCGAAGCCGGCTTTCGTGTTTAGTTGGCTTGAAGGGGACACATACATTACAGGCGATACTGCAACAATCAAGATCAAAATAATTGGGAATTTTGACCCCAATTCATATAATGTGTCTTTCAATCCTACAGTTTCAGTGAATGAGAAAGCAGGAAACAGCACTTTTATTTCTGGATTGTCTCTAAATTTTGGGGATGATCTTAACTCTTGGACTATTACCTTTGTTCCTATTCTTGTTGGCGTTTTTAATGTCCTGATTACAGATGATCATTTCAGGGTTCTCGATTCTTCGCTTCATTTCTTTGTTAACCCAGGTAGTTTCCTGGCTTTTCTTGGTTTATTCTTCATTTTCGAACTTTCAATGATATGGTGGTAAGTTTTTTTTTTTGGGATGTAGGGAACTAGTGATAGTATTTATTTAGGATTTGTTCTCTTCACTTGAAATAAGGCGACTTGGTCTGATTTTAATAAGATTTGTTTGGTTTAGTATGATTCCAAATTTTCTGGTTTTGTCTAGTTTGATTTGATGTATTTATATGACTAAACACTGACGCATTTTTACACCATTTTTTTAAAAAAACGAGTAAACAAATTGGATCTTGTTAGTTCAAAATATAAATTTTCATAAAATTATTATGCAATTAATAATATTATCAATGAGTAAATTAGAATAAACAGTTTTGATCTGTTCCGATCATTAATTCATAATGTTTCTGGTTTGGTTTAATTTTATATGTTGTTTTTAGTCAAATTTCAGGCTTTTAGACTTGCTCTTCACAGTTTGTTTAACCAACATGTATAACGTTGTTCGTCTCAGTAGGTAACTTATCAATTGCCCCTAGATTTATAGTTTTAAGATGTAATGTTGACTCTTATTAATGTTGTTAATGAAGGGAAAATGAACCCGACTGTGTCTATTGTATCGTGGATGGATTACGTGAATGAATTTGTGGCTGGGACAAGGGCTATGGCTCTGATACTTCCTAAAGATGCCTTTGGGAACACCATTCCTTCAACAAATGCCGAACTGAATTCATTTATCTTTGATGTTTCTGAATCCTTTGTAAACAGTTCTGCTGCCAATGTTCTCAGTGTCACCAGCCTGGGTTGGAATGATCATGGCTATCTTAGGATTGAATTCATTGCTTCATCAGCTGGAGATCTTTTGCTACAAGTACAGTGGCACAATCAAACTTTGCGAGGATCTCCCCTTCCCTTCAAGGTGCACCCGGGTAAAAAATCATTCTGCTATATATGAAATATGATGTTCTGCTGTCTGAAATGCTCACTAATAGTAGAATAATTGTAGGTGTTGGAGTAGACTCCTCGTTACTCATGCTATTGTTATCAATAACAAGTTAATATAATGAGCTATGTCGAACATTTCAGTTGTATTTGCCTATTTGGTATTGACATTAGTGATATATATTAATGAGATGAAACTTTAACAGGACCAATTGATGTTTCCAAGTGTGAGGCAAAGTGGAAATATGGCACAAATATATCACAGTATCAATCTGAAGTGGAAATATTCATTTACCAGCGCGATTTGTATGGAAATCTTGTGCCAGGATTTTATCCATTTGATGCAGAGATTTTTGAGAAGAGCACAAAATTATCAATACCTGTACCAGATCTCAACTTCAGCATATTTTCCCAGGAAATCCAATTACTTACATTCAGAGCAGTGGAACCGGGAAATTTTCTACTCACTATATATGACGCAAAGCATAATACCAGCATTTCCAACATGCCATATGAGTTTAGTGTTTCAATTGGTATGTCAGAGATATTTGCAGGAATTTGTTGAGGATTCTAGTTTTCCTGTTTTTGAAAATCTCTTTGAGCTGTATGTACGTATCTTCTGCTCTTTTTGTGTTGTATGATTTGTTCACTTTCTATGTTGCATGGATAGGCGACTGTGATGGTTTCAATAGCATTGTCAATGGATCTGGTTTGAACAACTCAGTTGCTGGACAAGAAGCGAGATTCTCAGTTTATTTGAAAGATGCTTACCAATATCCTTGTCCAGTTGAGATGAATATGCTCCAAGTACAAATTTCATGTCCAGCAGATGCATATATGGTGCTGCCTACAATTTATCCTCTAGAGGAATCAAATGGTATGTTTGAATGCTTAGTAACTTTTATTCATTACAGCTTTTCTCTTGTTAAGGCACATAGTCATGTATCATAGGAATTAAGTCTCCGAAGCACTTGACACTTGGCGTTATGAGTCCCATTGAAGTTTCTCCTAGCCCATCAATAGACCACGGCAATAATGTATGAACTACATTTTATAAATTGCTTTATACCTGCATAAGTTATCTGCTTTATGAAACATCCTTGTACTAAAAGACCGATGACAGATTGTTTTCCTTGTCAAAGTCTATAGGTACAAAGCAAATTGTGTCTGACACATATGGTGTGCTGTACACACCCGAAAGGAGTGGATCATATGAAATTCTTATCTTGTGTGGAAATATTCCATTGAATGGCGGTGAATTGTGGAAAAAGGAAGTGCAAGCAGGTATGACAAATCATTGGTTTACATATACAGAATTCATTTATTAGTGACCGTGAGAACATAAAAATTTGCAGAAGAAGATTTAACTCTTTTATCTGTACAAATAGCTTAGATAAATTTCTGCTAGCAAGCTTAAATATAGGTTAAAAAGTAATAATTAATAAATGGTAGCCAGAATAGTTTGATGTTCATTCTAGTTGGTTTTTCCTAAGAGTTCTGATATCATTAATACAAAATGTGAGAGCAGAATACTGAAAATACCTGTTTTTTTCTTTCAACGGAAGTAATTCTAGTAAAGAGTTTATGGTCTAGATTCTAAAATAAAATGACTATATTCACACTATATTTTCAAGCTTAGAAGGGCGCAGGGAGGACACATTTAGCTTGGTTACGCAACTTAACTATGATGTCAATGGATGGAAAAATCGCAATTTCATTGTGGAAACTTAAGTGTCTTATGTAGGAATAATCTATCTAGATTTGTGGCGTTTAAAAGCATGATAATGCTAACAGTGTACAAAGGTAAGATTCTTGTCGCTTTTGATCTGTTACATTTGGTAATTTTTCTGTTGCCAAGTAAATCCAAAGATTAGTTTAAATAAGTGTTTGGGGATTTAAGATTGAAGATTGTATTCCTTTTAAACTGATACATCCTATTTTTTTTTTTTCATAGACTGACTTATTTATATAATAAAATAATTACTAAGTTATAATTCATGATACAGGTGAGGTTAATATGTCAATGTCAGGTGTAGTAAAATATGCACCCAAAGTACAGAAGGTGGTGCGAAATGAAGTCGTCATCCAGCTAATGGATTCATTTTCAAACCCAGTTTTGTCCCAACAATCTAAATTAAAATTGGAGATTGGTTCAATAAACCATTCTGATTTTGTAACCTGGATGTTTTTGGACAATAACAATGGATCATATACAGGCCAATTTCAGGCTAATGATACCGGCACTTATGAACTATGTGCAACATTTGATGGCAAGAAGTTCTTACCTTGTCCTTTCGGAATCAATGCATACAGCAGTAAGTGCAATATATTATTATCAATTGCTTCAGACTATTAACAACTGATTGTCAGTTCCAGTATTTGTTTTTGTTAATAACCTTTTATAAAGCATCATTGGCCTGTGATAATGTGAATCAGCTAGGTGTGACATTCACATAGAAAAATAAAATTTAATGGATGTGATGCGGATTTATCTGAACAAACAGAGGTTTATTCTAGTTGTGAATGTTAAGTATCAGATTTATACCTCGTTAAATTTCTAGCTGTGAATGTTAAATCTTTAAAAAATAGAAATATCTTTTTCATTTATGTTTCTTTATAGAAAGAATGACAAAGTGTATTTAATTTTATTTGATTTATTTATTAGAGCTCGAAAAAAAGTTAAGTTTTGTTCATATATCCTGGTTGTGGTTACTGCATATAGCGCTGTTTCCAGTGCTGATTATATCTGTTAGTGGTTCTTTAATTTATAAAACAGCTTCTGAGTTCTTCATATCTTTTTCTGATACTGTATTGCAGCTGAATATTTTCCTGAAGCTCGTGATGATTCAATATCTGTATGGGAGGATGAATCAATTTCTTTCGATGCTCTTGAAAATGATTACTTTGCTGGTGAAAACGCATCAATTATTGCATTTTCTAATGTATGTTTATCTTTAAGTGATTAAGCTTCATTGCACTGCATTGCACAATATGTAGCTTTGTCTTTGCTTATGCTTTTTGCTAGCGTGGTATGGGTGATGGTGTTAAATTGTCCAATGTATTATTCTGTTTCAACTTGGGAATCACTGTAATAAGAGTTTTCAATTTTTTATTTTTTTTTTATTCCTGTCAAAAAAAAAATTACTATTTTTTATGATTTGAATTATTATTTTTTACTTATGTCTGTGTGTGTATGAATTGCACCTAAAATTTTCTTTGTAGGGGTGTTTCTCATGTTTGCTATTATAACATGGCAGCCAAATTCTGGTTCAGTGTTGCTGAATGGACTGCTTTTCAGATATACACCTTACAAAGGTTTTTATGGAAACGATTCTTTCTCATACACGATTTGCGACCTAAATGGAAATACTGCTTCTGCTTCAATAAACATTTCTGTACTCAGTGTTCCACCTCAGCTCATGTCCTTACCTACTTCGTTGAAGGGAACTGAAGACGTCTTGTGTCCAAAATTTGGGTAATAATCTGGTATATTTGATGACAAGATTGTTTATGGATACATTATTTATTCAGTTATAATATACCAAAATCTTGTTGTGGCAGTGGATTTCATGGTATTGAGGTTGAATATCCTGATGCTTTGGAGAACATCTCGGTAACTTTAAGTGCAAACTCTGGAACAATTTTCCTTGCCTCAATGATGATGCAATTTTGGGAACCAATTTGGAGTGAATTTTTTGCAAGGAGAGATGGTGAAGAAGCTAAGGCATTGACTTTGTCTGGCCATGTGGATGTAATCAATATGGCTCTTCAGTCAATTCAGTATCTCGGGTATTTGGATTCAACTGATGCTATGATTTACATTGATTTTCTGTGAACTATGCTGCTTGTCTGGAGTCCGTGCTTGTGTCTAATTCTTTCTCAATGTTTAAACAGAAGTCTTTTCTTTTTCAATAACCTTCTATACTTGTGTTGTATTTGCTGATTTGGTATGACTGCTTATGGAAAGTTGGAAACTATTTTTATTGTGCTATGATTAGGAATGAAAACTTCTATGGTAACGACACAATCAAAGTCTCTGCAAGGAACAAAAACGGAGTTACTGATTTGAATATCACAGTATGTGTCGAACCTGTCAATGATCATCCTTTCATCCTCACCCCGGAATACATCACTATTGAGGAGAATGAAAAAATTGGATCACTTATCTATAAAAAGGGGAGGAATAAATTAGAGTTTTCAATTGGAGACCCTGATGTGCTGCATTTTCCAGGTATGCATATCATTTTGAACGTTACCTGTTGCATTAGAACGTTATATATATATATATAGTGAGGGTGTGCGAGGTTTGGACAAGTATGGTTTACTTTTGGCTCAATTTTGCATTTTTTATTGCCAAATTGCCAATGCAAACCAGGGTATAGGGGAATGGTAGCGTTGTGCAATCCTGTTAAAAAGAGGATTTAAAAAGATAGGGCTATGCTAGTGCTGTGCAAAGTAAGAGAATTAATAGATTCTATTCATGAATGCCGAGAAATGAAGCTCATTATTTGTTTACTACTTTTTCTTTGTAAATCTGAACAACTATTCCTGCTTGTAATTATATAGGGAACAAATCCAACTTTATGGTTATCTTTTCTATGGAATTGACTTCTGGAATTTTAGAAGCCATCCTTCCAGTACAGCTTATCAATACCACAGAGCTGAAACTAAAAAATAGTTACCAGTGGCAGCCGCTTCAGACTTTTGTTACCATTTCAGATCATTTGGTGGTCAAGGCGAAAGGCTTGAGATTTCTGGCAACAGTTGATGACTGCAATAACATAGTCCAACAATTAAAATATCATGTAAGTAGCTACTTTTGGTCGACGTTCTTGTTCTTCCATGAAATCACTGAAATTTATGGCCTGTGATTATTCAAGTTTTTTAGAAGGGTTGTCATAGAATTCAATAGTAAAACAAAAGTTTTATCTTCGTTCTGGATCATTTCATTATAGAAAATGTTACTGAGTAGATGTCCATTAGTCCTAAAACTCGAGTGTATGAAATTAATTATGATCTTCCCTTATTTACAGATGAAATTTCACTATTTCCCCCCTCCCAATAAATTTTCATATGTGCTAAACAGGAAAATATGTCTAGTATGATCTATTGCTCGACATTTATTTACACAATTGACGACTTTCTGTTTTCACAGGCTACAGAATATGCTGCTATACTAAAAATGGTGATAAATGACATGGGAAACTATGGATGTTTTCCTGATTGTGCAAAAAATGTTTCAAAGCCTCTTCTTGCGGAGGTTAATGTTAATCTTATCAAGAGAAGGCCACTGAATTCCAAGGCAACACATGGTATGTAACAATGTTACTTCCTCGGACTTTCTTAGTGAACTGTGTACTTAGTGTGGAAACATTGTTTATCAAAGTTATACGAACTGTTTTACCTATACTCTTCATTTTATTGTTAACTCCAACCCTTTGACCCAAAATAGTTCGTTGGTTTGGACACTTAATACTTGAACAGAAAAGCATGCAATGTTTGTAAATTAGTAGTCAAGCACCTTGACTTGTCTCATGTCCAACATTAGTTTCCATGATTTAAGTTTCTTCAAACGGAGGGTTGATACTAAAATTGATATGGAAGTCATTAGGATGTTTGCTTCCTCGTGGCTTATATTTTACGTCTTACAGAAAAAGTGAGAATTGTAGTTGCTAAGTTAAAGTGGTATCTTGGATTGATTCTAATACAAACTTTTATGGTTATTTTGTCACAGCTCTTGGATTTATGATCATATTGGAATTTCTTGGGGTGCTCTCACTTGGAGGATTATTGCTTTTCTACACCTGCCGATGTGCAATTTCTCTTATAAATGAGCGGAGAGTTCATGATTCCGAGAAAGATGCTGGACTTGCCATTAAAACATCTAGTGAAATAATGGTTAGAGTTCTGTGTTTTTTTGCCTCTTAGCATAATATGATTTTTCATTCGGTCCTTTTGTGTCCTTGAAATAGTTCTTATATACATCTGCATATTTTATGTGTTGGTCACAAATAAGCTACCTCATCTTTTTCATTAGCTCTAGTCATTTCGTATGAGTACTTATTTCATTATTTGAATGTCTTACACATTTTCTTGCTTGCTTGCTTGAACGCCTTAATCCCATAAGTGAGGGTCGGCTACATGCATGAACCAACACGAGGACATCCTAGGAGTCCTAGTCTTACACATTCTTTGTCTGTTGATTTTTTTCCCCTTGTTAAAACAGGAAAGCAAAGCAGACGTTGAGACTGCAGCTACAGGAAATTGTCCCTGTCTACTCCTATCCAAAGCTAGATCATTAAATTTTCACCAAAGATTAGAACAGCAATCTTGTTTATGTAAGATAAATAGGCAGCGTAATTCTTGTGGCACTTAGCTTGCACCTTCATTTCTTATGTATGAATGTATGATGGTATATTGGATTAAATACTTTATTGTCTATACTAATCAATTTTGTTGAATTAATGGACATGTTCAATATTAAACTTAAATATCAACAGATAAGATTGTGTGATAAAATACAAAAATTGTGTGATAAAATACAAAAATGAATTTAAATTAGTTACAATTGTTGTAAATAAAGGAGTAGTACATATACTATAAAATTATTAAAGTGAAATAAAAAAGATAACCTCACAAACAATGGAATAATATCGGCGTGTCGTGATGTAAATCACTAACTTGAAAATTAATTTTTTGACACAGCCAGTGTGCTCAATTGTATTCGTGGGTACGTTCCTTAAGGTTAACACACCACTTCCTCACAAAGACACTTTTGGATGGAAGGTTTGAGTCTAGTAACTTATGCCCAATGAAGAATGAGTTTAGACTATTGTGCTTGATGTGTTTTTCAAGTGTAAAAATCAGAAAAAAAAAAAAAAGTTTTATTGTTATAAAATAAAGGGAATAGGAGGGAAAATGTGGAGAGAATAGTTTAGTCTATTGTTCCATTGAGTAGGGAGAGTATATATAGAAATACAATATAATTAGGATTTGCTTGGATATCAATAAACCCTAGATCTAGAATACTCCGAAAATATACAAAGAGGATAATGGATATCCACACAATATTTTCATAACACTCCCCCTTGGATGTCCATTATCGAAGACTGTGCCTCGATAAAACCTTAATAGGAAAAACCCTATGGGATAAAAACCTAATTAAGAAAAAAGAGTACAACATTCTTCGTAATATGTTCGAGATGCTGCCTTATTAAAAACCTTACCAAGAAAACCCTATGTGGGACAAAACCATGGTCAAGGAAAAAGAGTGCAGCACGTATTTTCTCCCCCTAATGAATTCATAAATTGAGATTTTCTAGTGTTGCGACAATGAATCCGATATGGTAGGATATCTTCGATCTTTGATCCTCTTAAATTGAAAATTCATCTTCAAGCCTTCAAGTGAATATGTGAATGTCTACGTTTCACCATACATGTGTATATTTCAATATCATTTCATATCTCTATTTAATATTTGATTTAACGGTTAAACTTATACGATTTTGCCTTCTTCTGGAGGTAGTGAATAATAGAAATTGATAGTCATTATTTGATCAAACATTCGTTTAATAATTTCATGACAAAACTTGATATTATTAATGTCGTTCTTCAATCTCATATGAATTATAATATAACACATGTAATTATATACGCTAATCATGGTTTTTTTGGACCATAAGAAAACATTATCACGCATAATTATCCCATTGATATTCTTTAGAATATTCATAATTGTCATGATGGTTCTCTTGCATATACAAATAGTAATTCTCACTAACTTTCATATACTCAATCTTCAGGTTGAGATGTTAATGACATAGTCACATAGACAAAAGTTTATTTGATATAATTACAATATTCAAAATATAAAATTGGGAAATTCCCAACAGTAACCTCTACTTTTTTAATTTCTCAATGATAACTTCCAATTTTAAAATTATCAAATATGACCCCAAGTTTATTTTTAATCATTAAATGTGATATTAGTAGGTTAAATGCATGTTTAATGAATCTTTTTCTGTTAAATAGTCCTAACCCTGGTTAATTATTATAGTTAATCTAATTTCCTCCATGATAGTTGACCAACTAACTAGAAATTGTCTTATTTGCATGATAATTGATTATGCTTTGCCTCCATGAAATGAAAGAAAAAGTGGCGGCTACTAGCAACTAGCAATAGGACTCTAAAAGGCAAATAAAAATATTGTAGTATATTTAAAATTTCAATCAAGTTGGAGTACTATGTGAGTATGTGGAAAACCTGCTTCCCCATATTTTTTAATATACATTTTGCATTAGTATATTAAAAAATAGTACTCCAACTTAAAATAGTATGAAGTAGAATATGATGTAAGACATATGATTATAATTAACAGTAAAAAAAACATAAATCATGATATATAAAATGTCAGGTCCACTTAAATAAATAATTTAAACTAAACTACTTAAATTAAGATTAAAGCTAAACCTAAAACTAAGATTCAAGCTTAAACACAAAAGTAGTCTAATATAAACTGGGGGAAACTAACACAATAGTATAATGAAAACTAATGTTCTTATTGAATGAGACAGTTAACTACAACAATCAACGATGCTCTACATTGCATTCTTCTTCTTGCTTTGTGCCTTTTTCTGCATTTGTGTTGGGTCTCTCTGACAAGTCAAAATATTGTGGCCAAAATCACCACAGTTACCACACCGTAAAGTCTTAGATCTTTTCCCTTTTCTCTGCTCTTCCTCACCTCTTTTTCTATTTATCAATGGTCTTCCAACTCCTTTTTTCATCACGGGAGGTTCAATGGCTAGCACATCGGTTTGAGGCCACTGCTCTCTATCTGACACTGATTTTATACCATTAGCATATGCCATCTTATATCTCTTTACAGAGTACCACTCGTGCACAAATCTTAAGGGGTCAAAACCTGCATGTAATATGGCCCTCATGCCATGCTTGCATGGTATTCCAGTCAATTGCCAAGTATTGCAAAGGCATGTGTGGTTGTTAAGACTCACCGAAAGAGATGACTTCCTATCCACAATTTCATACTCCCCTTGACTTGATAAGTATGCCCTCAAGTTCTTGAATCACTACAAAGTACTTGAACCCTTTTAACAATGTTTGGAAATACATCACACCTATCCCATTTTTCACACATTTCTCTTCTTATAGCCAGCCTAACCATAGTGACCCTCCTTATACCTATTCTAAAACAAAAACATACAATTTTAAGTCCAATAACATCACCTCTATCACATTGATGTACTATAGAACTTTTTTCAAGTGCCACACAAAAATTTTCCATGTTTCCTCATCTTTTCCTAATACTATAGCCCAAGCCATAGGAAACATCTCATTATTAACATCGAGTGCCACAACTGAGAGCAACACACCTCCACAGTTACCTTTCAAGAATGTTCCATCAACACCAATTAAGTCCCTACATCCAGAAAACAAACCCATCCAATGTAGCCTTAAAGCATATGAAGATACTAGTAAATGCAAAGGCTTTTCAGGGTTATTTGGGGGGTTCCAAGCAAGTTAGCTAATGAATTTGGATTAGTTTCTTTTATAACTTCACAATACTTTGGTAAGTAACTACATGAAACGTCATGCCCCCCATGAATCTTAGTTAATGCCATAGTTCTCATGCTATAAAGCGAACTTTGTGCCATTTGAACCCTATATCATGACCATAGAAGCTCGTTAAGGGCCTTAGATGGAATGTCATTGTTGGCCCTAATGTCTTCTAACAAAACTTTGCAAGTCCATTTTGTTGTCATCATCGGGATCCTAGTTTTTAAGCCCATGCAAGTGTGTCTAGATCCTTGAATTGACTTAATAGCCCATGTCACACCATCAACAAGTCTTGATGTATGCAATCTCCAAAGACACCTCTCATCACTACACCTCACAGTGTACGTAAAGTTGTTGGCCTTCTCTACAATCACATAGAATCCATTTTGAATGCAATAATTCCTTACAACGTCTCTGAGGTGTTGTTTGTCTGTGTAAAGTTGCCATGGTTTAACAACAATTTTACCAAAGTCCTCTTCTTTGTAAAACTCACCATTTTTATAAACCCTTTGGAGATAATTATCCAAGTCATCACATTCATTTTCCCAAACAGGGCCTTCATATGGGTCAAAGTTATCATGAATCATGCGAATTAGCTTATCATCTTGTCCCTCACCTTCGTCATCATCATCTGATAGAGAACTCTCATTGTCATTAAGTCCACTAGGAGAGTATATTTCAATATTATCCAAGTCCAAGTCCATCTCAGCTGTCGTGTCAAGGCTAGCTGTCAAGTCAAAAACAACATGCCTTCTATTGTTACCTAGTTCAGCACTCCCTCTCCCCACATTAGTGGTAGTGATTAAGCCCCTCCTCTTTGCTATAGTTCTAGGAATTCTCTTCTTTAGCAACGGTGAAAATTTAACATATATTGATGACTTTCCCACTTTAAACGCACTACTTGTTTGGGATGGTAAATTCGGAGACGGTATAATATGTGGTTGAGATTGAGGGTGGTTTCTAGTTCTTCTTCTTATCTGAACTACTTGAGTAGGGTCGGGTATGGGTTCAACAATTGGTGTGCTAGTCACTCTTCCTCTTCCTTTTCCCCTATCCCTGCCCCCACCCCTTACTTTTCCATTTCCTCTCCCTCTCCCTCTATTAGGCTCAGCTGTAATGATCTCAATGTTGTTCCAATATTCCATGTTATCAACAATAAACTCATTTATGTTAATAGGAGAGGAGGATGAGCCATGTCAAATGTAACCTCGGCTTGCTTTTAAGTTTCAGTTTCTTGGTTTTTGGTGAGGCAAGGTTCATTAGTTTGGTCTAGAGTGGGCTGAGGTTGAATATGATCACTACTTTCAATGGCATTCATTATTCTTGAAGCTTTAAGTGATTGTGCAATTTCAACAATTGGAGTTGATTTTTGAAGATCCCCCACCCATATGTAAATCAAATCCCTCCCAGGCAAGTCAACAAACATCTTCATTAGCGCCATGTCATTTTTTAGCTTAACATGTTTCATTTTGTGAATGTATGTAAACTCAGGATTCTTAGGCATTGGGGTTTGTTCTCGCTTAGCTATTTCCCAATACTCGATAATAAGGTCTACCAAATTGACCTCGTCAACGTCTTGCACAATGATGTCAGTGTCTTTACCAGAGTATTGAAACCTCAAAAATACAATATCACCCATATTTTAGGCTAAATTATCTGTAGAAACAAAGAATAATATCCAATAAATATTATAGAAAAGTAGCAATCCATTATAGTAGAATGAAAACCAATATATTAATGTAGGAACATAAAAAGTAGAAATCTTTTGTAATCTACTTGTTAGTTGTTAGCTTAATTAGCTTATGTTGCATCATTTATATACTTGTATTAGTTAGCTTGCCATTTGTCCATTCAATATATACTTGTACAAGTTAAATTAGTTTTCCATTTGTCCGTTGATTACTCCAAACATATGACTATTTTGTATATAAGACTACACATATCAATCAGAGACTACATACATATGCCAACACATTTTTTCCTTTTCTATTCAATTGTATTTTCCATTCACTACCTTTTGTTTTATGTCAAAGTTTACTGATATTATCTAGCCTCGTCTTCTAGTGCAATTAGACAATGACGCTACACTAGTTGGCTAGGCAATGTAAATTGATTAACAACATGTTGTTAGTTCTTCAATTGGGTCCAACAAGTTATCAAATTCTAGGTAAGATCACAAATTTGACCAAATGAGTACTCTGCTATTAAAATTATAAATAAAAACTAATAGCTACTTACAAGAATTTTCTTACAATTTCGTCAATTTCTATTGTCATAATCCACCCACTAATTTCTATATATTTAAACAAGGAAAATTTGTTAATTACTACCTCAAAAAAGGGGTATTTGTGAATTACTACCCCTAAAAGAAAAAGTTGTTAATCACTACTCTAAAACTGGTGAATTCTATAGATTGCTACCCTTTTCCCTAATCAGCCCCTAATTAGGTGATTAATCTATTAATGATATCATTATCCGGCTAATTTGTAATTAGTTGTTTTTAAACCTTAAATAATTAATTAAACCCTAGAACCACCTCCATACCACCATTGCACCA